CATCAGAAAATGCGCCTTGAGGCATGGAACATATGTACCAAATATGCCAAAGATGTCTACAAAATTATCTCAGTTATTATTAAAAAACTGATTATTTTTGAAAACTTTGCCACCCTGTATCTCAAAAGTTAAGGCGTTTAGGACATACGTCCATAGAACGTTTTTTCCTTAAAATGGGTCTAAGAATTACCTCCTTAAATATTAGCATGTGTTTAAGGAACACCCTGTATATACAAATTCTTTAAGGAAATATAACGATATTAAAACTTATTTAGTGGTGTCTCAACACTAAGAGTATCACTTGATTCCATCAAATATTTTAATTCTGGCATACATATCAGGATTTAAAATCAGTTATCAACATTAAACGTATTGAATAGAGTGGTAAAAAGATTCATTGGTTTTAATTTAATTGTGAAATTGCAGATTGGATTTGGAATACCTCAGAATGACAGTGGATCATCATGGAACGTACACACAGTCCGTCCAGCAAGATTGTTGCACAGATACATGACTCTCTGATGTCGATAGATATTTCGCAGTGGAAAAAATATGACGACATGCAAACTGTGATTTTATTTTAGGTTTCAGCATTTCAGAGTTGAATAATAAAAAAGTGTCCATAAATTGAGGCTTTCTTTTGTAAATTCAGTTACCGGAATCAAAACATACCATAATTCAATAAGTAGAACTGCTCGTACACTTTATTAAGTTTTGGGCAACTGAAAAACTGGGTTTTGGAAAAAGAGAGGTTTAGAATCAATGGAATACGCTGAGAAGATTGTGACAAAAAGGACGTTGGTCAATCTGAGTGAACTATAATAACACGTTTTACGGAACATGTATAGCATCACATCGCAATATGCAGGACTTGACAGAATTGAAGATTTTCACAAACTGTGACTTCAATATCTACGTTAAGGATATCCTTGAGCAAATACAGTAAATACAAATCTTCAGAGCGCTGTAAATCCCAGATGAATCAATGAAATTGAACAGATTTCTCTGTGGCAAAATTATTTGTTGAGACCTCTCTTTGAGATTACTTTCATGTAATTTCATGGTGAAATGACTATAAAAAAATATAACGACCAAAAGAAAATGTTTTGAAATATTTTCAGTTATTTGGGTTTATAAATTTTTTATTTTCCATTTCTCGACAAAAAATAAAGAATAAAGAGAATAAAGTTGTGTACAATTCATTTCGCTACAAATGTCCCATTAAATTTTCTGTACGGTTGCTTGTTCAACAGACTGATGTCTTCACTAGACTGAGGAAATGATTCTATGGTCTGTCAATTTTAAAGGTTTCAGGTTTGGGAGAATGTCAATCTGGTCAGCTGACCTCATTGATGGGATGGACAATAATTGCTTAGGAATATCGATTGCTATAAGGAAATATAATCTTTAGAAAATAGCCTGAATCACGACAGAACAATTGGTGAATAGCATTTCCGGGTAACTCCGTTTTTATAGTTGTAGTTGTCAATTTCCTCCAATGAGAGACACAAAATGTCAAACTTCCCGATAACAAATAACTCAATTATTAAAAAAGTGGTGATTGAAGTGTGAAAGGTTTTTCAAATGATATGTCACCGGACTCTCCATACCATTGAAATAATATTGTGGTAAGTTGCTGTTCGTGAGGAGAAGTGAAAGGTATGATTCCCATATCCCTTCGGAACAGAAATTGACGTTTTTTTTTTAATTCTGAGTACACCTCTGTTTCTGAGTAGAAGAGAAGTCACGTTTTTTTCAAAATGCCTTTCAAATGGGGCTCATCGAAAATATATAAGCTCAAAGTACTGGTATATCCCAATGAAAGGGCGAACTTCTGGATTAGGGAACCTTCCAGATTCTGGATGACAATTGATAGTTTGCAACTCATTTCGTGGAAAGTTTTTTGTATCATATAATGTATACACTTATTTTCCAGGTTCTGAGTACCAAAAATGATTTTTCAAACTATTTTCTATGGAGCACATATAGTCACGAGTCACACCCAAAAAAATATACCAGGATATACAACAGGAATTCGGTGAATTCTACAGGAAATTCCCCCTATATAAGCGACAGCAGGAATATTTGTTAATTGTACATGACAATTCCGGTCTTTTAATTCCTTTAGAAATTACAAGTTTTAGACCAGTAATTGCAACCGAACTGCAGCGAACTGTAACGAAAACCGACATATGCTTTGCTATTTACAGAATCGTTACACTGATTTAATTAGAATTTTCCAGTTATTTTAATGAACTACCTTACTTTTACCGGAGCTGTAATTTCGATTTAACAGGAATTTCCTGTTTAATAAACAAACTAGTTAGTTGTATTCGAAGCTTCCCGACCTTTTATAGGAATTTCCTGTGGTTATCTAGTATTTAATTGGAATTTCTTGTATTTTCTTGATGGTATTTAACAACCGTTCCTTCGAGAAATGTCCTAGTTAGTGCCTCTGAATGGTCTGGGTATATAACATTGAAGTCATTTAGCAACTAAAAGGAAGACGATAATATTTACAAATCATTACTAGGTATCTTTCAATCTGGACCAATGTATAATATAGGAATATAGGCTTTCACAGCTGGTGTCAATGTTTTGGTTGATTTCTGGGTTTTGCCGGACCACAGCAAAACCCCACGGCAAAACCCGCACTATAGTTATAGGTGGAATATACTATTAAAGCTTTGAAAATAATTACAAAAGCATTTTGAGGAGAAGATCTAATGCACTGGCACTTGTTTCATACCAGATTTCAAAATGTCTTAATATATATATATCCAACACATATATATCATTGATAATTTTGCTAATGAATGTATTGAGTTAAACCAGTTGAGTAATTATACAGATTTACGATTGAAACGTTTATATGAATAATTTACGCTAATCAAAATAGTCAAATAGTATATAATGTCCTTTCAATAATTATTCAGAAAATAACTATTTGAAAATATTACCGTTTTTGTTATAAAATAGGTACCAAATATTGCAACGTTTACATTATTTTTTGCTTATACAGTTGGCAACACTTAATGCTTATTCGTTGCTTGATGATTACTTCAATGAACATTGTTTATTGTTTTAGTGACAGACACTTCATAGTCATACCAAGTGTAATAATAAAATTCACTCACCTACTTCTGAATGTTTCAATGTAATTGGTCAAACTCCATCCTCTTAGGTAGCCGGCGACATCATCGGCGCTGGCTTCTACTTCCATCGAATCAGTTGGTTCACCAATTACTGTATAAATTGTCTCTCCTCCATCTTGGATTTGATCTAATTTTAATGCACTAGGAACAAAATAGAATTCATATTCAGAATTTGCAGCTCTTGACATAATTATTTTTCTAATGAGTTTCACAACACTTGCCACTCATCACGTATGCATATCCAATGAAAAACACGAATGACGGCTTCCGCGTCGGCGGGTACTGCCCCAGAGTACCGGATTTAATTGTGGGATTCACGGGAATTCTGTTAAAATGGACGTTCTGAGCTGTTAGAACAGTGGCGTGGATCGTAGAGATAACAGGAATATAATATTACATGTATTAAAGTACTGTTAGTTGAACAAGATTTATTCCGGGGAAACTAAACATTCCTGTTGAATTTATTGTGTCCATACTGTTAGTCGTACAAATTGTATTGGGTTATATTCACAAAAATATTATATTTCACTAGATATTCTTGTAACATTCACGGTGTTTTATTCCGGTTTCACGTATGGTTCTGACCTACGTATGTTTTACAGTCGTGGCTTGTAAACATAGCAAAATATTATTCTAGATACACAGGAAATATTCCTGATTAATTAAAAGTACCTTATTACTGCTATACTTACCGTTTTTCCTGTTCATAAGACTCGAGTCACTTTAACCGGAATCGGCTTGTTAGATTGCAAGCACAGATTGTTATCAGAACGTTTTTTTTTCTGTTATGGTAACAATAGTTGCGTTTAAACAACAGGAATTAATTTAACCGGAAATTCCCGGGATTCGTTTTTTTCAATAACTGTAGATTACAGTCATTTTGAAAAATTTTCACGAGAAATTCATTCCAGAAATATGCCGTTTTCCAAATGAAATATTTTTAAAATTGTGTGGTTCAAGATGTAGTTGTGGTGAAAATAAATCCATTCGAAACATGAAGATTGAGTTATACAGAAATCACTTTTTTCTATTTCAAACATTTGAAATTGTAAGAGATATCGTACATAAAAATACACAACGTAACATATAAGAGTGATATGGAATGTCACTAACAAGAAAAACTCTTAATTTTTTATATATTCGAGAGATGCTTCAGATAGATTGGATCGTATCCTAAAGAAACTTTGGTGCATGATGTACATGTTTACATTGATATATGTTTATCCTTCAGAAGATTCTTACATTCATTGGAAAGCCAAGTGATTCCTTTCCAAAAACTATAAAACACTCGCGATTTCATGAAATATATTTTAAAATGTAATCAATTGTTCAAGTTCAAGTTCAAAGTTAAAATGACATAGACAAATGACTGAAGGAATCGCTATTCTTTTTTGTTCCTTTCCATAAAATTAGTACCGCAAAAATTTGTATGATTTTCCAATGTCAAAATTCCTCTGAAAACGTAGTTTCTCACATCCTGGTGAAAAAATACCGGGCATTTTTACGGGCAACAGCGACCTGTTTCGTGAATTGGATATAAATTACTGAATGTTCAAAACTGCTGTTTGGATGTGCAATTAAACACCATCCAACCCTTCTATTTGAGCTCGCAGGTACCCGTAAATAATTCGAGTTTATTTGCATCGATACGGAGAGGAGCGTTTTTTACATTTGAAGTGCTTCCGGCTTTGAGCGTAGAGCGCTTGATAATTTAAAATATGAGAATGGCCAAATGCCTTACCGTCCATTCAGAGGCAGAATTATTACTTTTGCAATTACAGTTTATAGACTAGTCATTCGACAGCTTCATCTTATTCCTCTGTTCACTTGGAAATTGCTTTCAGTGTTCTGTGGAATCCATAGAATTCGAGAAAAAGTCCTAAAGAAACTTTGGTGCATGATGTACATGTTCTCATTGATATATGTTACAAAAGTTCCATTTATGATTGCTCAGTTTTTGTTATTGTGATGCACTGTTTGGAACCTTTGGTGTAGTAATGTATATTAATAGAGTTTCATCCCAACACAAAACCGTTATTTTCAACACCTCGACACGTGTTTCGATCACCAAGTGATCATCTTCAATAAGAAGATTAAACTTTCTTAATCTTCCTCTTGAAGATAGCCACTTGGTGATTGAAACACGTGTCGAGGTGTAGAAAATAACTTACTATATATATACTCTGATTGTGGCTTTAACAGTTACGCTTTTATATATCAGCGCAACGAGGTAAATATTTTATTTTTTTGTAATGTAAATCGCTATGTAATTGAATATGTATTTTTTTAAATGTCAAATAGAGTATTAACCCAGGCTAAATAAGAAAAAAATCTAATGAATTTTGGGAAGAAGGGTGATCTTCAATAGGAAGATTAAACTTCATTAATCTTCCTCTTGAAGATGGCCACTCGGTGTTTGAAACACGTGTCGAGGTGTAGAAAATAACTTATTATAT